CATTGCTAATGATAAGAATGTTTCTAAATAATAATGAATACAATATTCAATCAACTTTGTTTTTTTCCTCGGTGGTGGATGGCACCATTTACCAGATGGCTGAGTAGGGTCAAGATGAGAATATTCAATCTATGATTATCATGTCAATGTGAGAGCAAAAATAATCAGTCTAAAACACTACCTGGACACAGATAATAAAAGTTTTCTAATAAAAAAGCTAAGTGTTCAAGGGTTAAAATTCTAGGGTTCAAAGCTAACTATCTACCGGCTTCAACATGGCATTAAGCAAAGGCGAACAGTATTTATTCATTCACACTTTCTTCTAAATAAAAAGTTCACATTAGCCCCAGTTGTTTATTCAGAATGAGTTGTAGAGGTATAATAAAGAAAAATATGAATTAAGCTTATTCTATTTGTTATTAATATAAATATATTAACTTTTAAGTATATGGACTAACTAAACAGTGACATGGAACAGAGCTCAGCCATAAGGAAAAAAAAAAACAACTAATACACTAAAAGGTTAACTAATGGAAACTTCTGGGTAAGTTAAGGAAACATATAACTTTGCTAACTGATTTAATTTTTGAAATAACTGAATGCCACTTATTTACTTTTCTTGTGTTTAGAATAACATGTTTGAAATAAAATGAAAAACTTCAAGTGATCTCCCTTATGCTTTTCTATAAGAGCGGCTACTTGAGCTGTAATATAGTTTGGAGCCAGAGGAATGCTTAGATTAAAAACCTGAACGACAAACAAGTAAAGAGGCCATAACCTGCATGTCCAAAGTTAGCAAATATTGCAGTGAGAGGCCTTTGTCCTTTCATGGGTGACTTCTGTGCAATGTGGCCAACATACTTTCCCAATGCAGCACAGTGAGCGGACGGCCAGAATATTTTGTTAAGAATTAGTGCAACCCAAGGTAAAGATAGTGTATGGATTATTTGATCAGCCACTGTTAACAAAATATTTCTATATTTAAAAGTTGAATTAGTTACTCTAACAAATGTGTGTGTGTGTGTGTGTGTGTGTGTGTTTGGCAGGCACATATTAGCACAAGAGCAGAATTCAAAATGTAAGCATTTTTATTAAAATAATTCTTTATGCATTTTTTTCAAAACACATTTTCTATTTGTGTAGGTTCTAATATTTTAATAAGATTTATACAGTGAAAGCAAATAGACAGCACTTGATTGGAAAATCATTCTGGAAATAACTTGCTTAAATCTGTAACCATGTACTACATTAGAGAATACACTGCAAGGGTTGCAGTCAAGCTTATAGGATTGTGGAGAGCACAGCCCCCACTGAAGAAATGGGCTTGGCTGTAGCCACAGAGATCCATCCAACAGCATGTGTGTCTGTGTACAGAACAGCACATGAAAAGATTCTCCTTCCAAGCTTAAACACAAGCTTGGCTATGTCCTTCTTAATAAAAAAAAAAGTAATAAATAAAATAAATAAATAAATAAAAATAAATCACTTTTTAGTATTCACTCTTTTAAGGAACTTCATTAAAATATGTTCACTGCTCCCCTTTCTGAAAAAATAGTGATGAATCACTTAAGATGAAACAACTCAACTTTGGCAGGCACCATTTTAATCCTGGGTGAAGTAACAAGCAGTAAGTTCATGGTTGTCATCAATCTGTTTTAATTTCAACAAGAGATCTTAATCTTAGTAAGGTGACATGCATCGGTGCCTTGTATTTTCTAAGTAAACACAACATTTTCAGCATGGAAAGAATTTTCTTTTCATTTTTTGGTGAGTGCGGTTTTTGTGGCACACAAAATACCCTGACAAATTCAGTTAGATTTCAAATGATAATGTATATTGTATATCTTATGCATTGATCATGTGTGTCCACATGATTTTATATTCAAAAGGAGGAAAGTTCCCGTCCAGTGGACATCAACAGAAGTTACAGCCTATGGCAAATTCACATAATTAGTAATTTAGTTCTGGGCAAAGGAAAGGAAATAGCAAGGTGTTGGTAGCAGACATAAGACAGTTAGCTGGGATTTTAAAATAGTATCTTTGCTTTTGGATTATGAATATAGCTTTGTTTGACTTACATTAATTCCCGGAATTCTTTAAGAGAGATAAAGTGTGTCCAATGGTTCTCTTTGGCATCTTGAATAGATTTTGCTAATTGCCACATGTATAATTCTGTTTTCATCAAACTTTAGAGCTATTATTTGAAATCTTGACTCTTAAAAACCCAAACTTCATCTAGGCAGGTGCAAATATGTTAATTTGGGGGGGGTTAAATATTATTTTTAAGTTTGAATGCATTGACTAATTCTGTTTCATCAAACTTCAGAGCTATTATTTGAAATCTTGCCTCTTAAAAACCCAAACTTCATCTAGGCAGATGCAAATATGTTAATTTGGGGGGGTTAAATATTATTTTTAAGTTTGAATGCATTGACAGAGAAAAGGGCAATATTAGCTTCGGAATTCTTTAAGAGAGATAAAGTGTGTCCAATGGTTCTCTTTGGCATCTTGAATAGATTTTGCTAATTGCCACATGTATAATTCTGTTTTCATCAAACTTTAGAGCTATTATTTGAAATCTTGACTCTTAAAAACCCAAACTTCATCTAGGCAGGTGCAAATATGTTAATTTGGGGGGGGTTAAATATTATTTTTAAGTTTGAATGCATTGACAGAGAAAAGGGCAATATTAGCTTGACACTAGACCCTCTGAATTTAAGTACGAAAAAAGACCCTTCAAATTTTTGCTGAAAAAATGACACACTGTAAAGTAAAGAGTGAAGGAGTGAATGTGAGTGTGTGAGAAAGTAAAGACAGGGGAAACTCCTAAGACAACATGCCCTCTCATCTACATGACTGCAAACATTTTCTATTGTTGTTATGGTTCTACATCATCATAGTGCATGCTGAGCACTGTGGTATCTCCCACTAACTCCCAAGGCTTTCTTAAACTGGCTCCCATCCCTCCAATTGATTTATTTTTCTTCACCAATATAAGTCATCGACTACCCTTAGGCTGGAGGCATCATAAGAAGGCTGTGTGCAGGCCCCTTCTCTGTGCTCCCTTGTCTACAGTTTCATGGTGTTTTCAAAGCCCTACCTCTCTCAAAGCTCTTCTGGCAGTACTCTCTCTGCACAGCTCACTTGAGTGAAAATGTCAAGAAGGGTCAAGTTTTCTAAGGTCCTTAAAACTACATATACCTTTCTCCTCTACGGGATAAAACTCAGTATACCCCTGAGTAAGTTCTGATTTAACCCTTTTCTCATCCCCTCTCATTATATTTCTCCACATAATCTGTTGTATTTTTACACCAGAAACTGTTCTTCCAGAACATATATTTTCTTCCTCTGTGCTTTGATGTCTGCCATTTCCCACAGAGTGTGGGAGTAGTAAGCTAATGTTTCTTGAAGCTTTACCACGTGCCAGGGACTTTGCTAAAGATTTTACCGAAACTTATCATTTAGCCCAACAACAAAGCTATGCATCGGTACTCTTATTTTTCCAAGTAACAGATGAGGAAACTCGGGCCTATTGAGGTTAAATAATGCACCTCCTGTTTCCCATCTGTTTCTCAAAAGCAATACATTGTCCCCCTTGAGCATTACTTCAGACCCAGCGAAGTGCTATGAGATGCAATGTCAGTGGAGCACATTTTGCTGAATATAGCTTCATATTTTGATTCTGTAAATTCTTTGGAACATCCATTATTTTTTCTTGTTGAATCAACAATTTGATACATATTTTAAAGCTCCACTTATGCATGACCTCCCTCCTCAGTCTCTCTAGTGATAATTGGGGCTCCCTGCTCAGCAGCGCGTCTCCCCTACCCCCTTTCTGCTTAAAGTGGGTTTCATGACCAGCGTGGTCAGCATCCCCTGGAGCCTCTTAGAAACTCAGGCCCTGCCTATGCTCTAAAACTGCTGAATCAGGATTTCCCCTGGCATGAGGGCAAGCCGCGGATGATTCATATACGTTGTAAAGTTTGAAGCAAAATTTATCTCTTTGATAAGATAATTATTTTTTCTGCATTTAATTATGCACAACAACTAATACTTATCCCTATTTGCCTGATATTTTCCAAGTAGGAGGGCAAGCATATTATTTATATTTGTCTCACCCAAAGTGACTAGCATAATACTTCCCATATGGTTGCTACTTGGCACATCTTTATTAAATGTATGTATTAATCTGAGAGATAATTCCATAAGAGGCATACCTTTATATATACTATAACTCATAGAACCAATATCCTTCTCTAGGAAGTTCTGGGAAGGTAGTTATCTTATCTTTCTTGTTTATATTGTACCTACCTAGTATATGAAAGTAGGTCAAAGGAGGAAAAAATAATGATGAAGAGGGTCAATGGGGGAAAATGGGGAACATCTGTAATACTCTCAGCAATAAAGATAAATAAAATTTAAAAACTAAAAAATAATGATGAAGTGAGGCACTGAATAAATTAAGATAATCAAATATTGTATTAAAGAGAGTTGATAGATGAAAAAAATTATTTTTAATTTATTTAGTTAAAAAATACCTATAAGTGTCAAGGAATACTAACTTATTCACATTATGAACTAAGATTGTAGATAGAACATAAATCTAATTAAATCAATAAAGGTTGATTTGAGATTCCTCATTCTATTCTAACCTAATAGTATTGCACATACGCATCAAGTTGCTTTGTTACAGATGACTAAGGTACCACAGTTGATATGAAATGTCAGTGTTTAAGCAATTTTCAATTTTTCTTTTTATATTAAAATTCTTTTAAATCAATTGGAAGCAAATTGATTAACTTGCAGTAAATTCACTTGCAGTAAATAGTATGCCACGCAGTCCTGTTTGACATTAATATAGAAGAATATCAAGATACATAAATGGAAACCCATGTCCCATTTCAAAAGAGAAATACCCTGACAAGTTCAGTCAGATTTCAGATTATAATGTATGTGCCTTAGGCGTTGATCATGTGTGCCCATGTGCATTATATTCAAAGGGAGGAAAGATTCCCATCCGGTGGACATCACCAGAAGCTATAGCCTACCGCAAATTCACGTCAGCCAGCGATGTATGGAGTTACGGCATTGTTCTCTGGGAGGTGATGTCCTATGGAGAGAGGCCATACTGGGAGATGTCCAATCAGGATGTAAGTATATGTAGTCCAGGAGTTATGGAGTCAGATTAAAAGATCAAGCTATGCAAGGAAGTGAAGCCTAATGAAACCAGGTGGCTCCCAGTTTGTGACATTGAAATAGAATACTTAAAAAATGAAATTGTTTTCAAATCTTGCTAGAATAGTAATTGAACTGCTCTTAAGGGTTTACAGTTTTCCCTCAAGCAGGGGTTTAGAATTGAGGCAAAAATGAAAGCATTTGTATTAAAATGTAATGAAATAAGTGACTATCAAGATAACCAGTGTATGCCAGGGAGTGTTTGAAATATTTTTGCTACACAATTGTTTCTAGGTAACATTAGTAAGATACACATGTCTGCCAGCCTTTGTAGATTTAAGTAATGCATCTATGCCAACATTTTGTTTATTTAAATATAGTATTTCCCAACGTCAGACAAAACAATCAATCTGTAGCATGTTGTTCCTCATTATGTATTAATGTTGCACATGAATTTCATTATACAAATTGAAGTCTCTGGATGAAAAAAAAATAATCTTTAACTCTCTGTTATAACTGTGATATGATTTTTCAAAAGGATTTTTGTTTTTATAAAGTCGTGTTTGCTCATGCTTAGTAAAAGGATGCTCTTGGCATGTGGGATCAGCACTCAGAGGTTTTTCTTTATGCTCAGCCAGAAACTGTGAGCGTGATCTCAAAATGCACAAGCAGGAAAGCTGAGATGCTTTTAGTCATTTCCTACTCACCACATATAAAATTGCTTTTAATGTGTTTGGATATGAAAACCTTTTTGTACGTCTTCAAACAAGCTATTTTTTATAACAATAATGGGAAAGTCAGACTCCCTTTTCCACATCTCTATTTTCCAAGTTTCCTCTGTATCAGAGCCCCCCAAAATGTGGCCTCTGGACCAGCAGGTTTAGCATGGCCTGGGAATTTGCAGTAATGCATGTTCTCAGGCCTCACCCCAGAGTGATGCAATCAGAGGTTAGTCATCTGTATATTATTAAGTTCTCCAGATGACTCATACATGTAAAGTTTAAAATCACTGTTTTATGTCATTTAAAAATACTAATAAGCTGATAGTTACTTAACCGTGCAACTCATGGGCTTTTACCAAAGGACCTGACCATGATTTGAAATGTGGTATAAAGAAAATCTGTGAACTGTGGGGTTTTTTTTTGCATTCATTCATATATAGTTTCCATAGAAATTTATATTACCAAACAAAAGTTTCTTTATAATTCACTGAATTTCCTTTGTCATAGAATTTTTTTCCTTTGTCATAGAGTTTTTACAAACTCTTCTAAATTTACTTTCTCTCTCTCTTGATCTTCCTTTAGATAACATATTGGGCATTAATAATATCTTACTTATTTGATAAGCTATTATTTTTAAGGGATTTAAAATGAGAACTTTTTCACTTAACTTTAAAATACTCGTATTAGTGTGTTCTGCCCATAAAGAAGTAGGAAGCCCCACCTCTTAAGTCTCCGGAAACTTTGCTTCTTGCCCAGGTAATTAAAGCTGTGGACGAGGGCTATCGACTGCCACCCCCCATGGACTGCCCAGCTGCATTGTATCAGCTGATGCTGGACTGCTGGCAGAAAGACAGAAACAACAGACCCAAGTTTGAGCAGATTGTCAGCATTCTGGACAAGCTCATCCGGAACCCAGGCAGCCTGAAGATCATCACCAGTGCAGCAGCAAGGTGACGCATAGCTTGCATCGTGCACTCGCTCCAAAGAATGTATTTTCTATCTCCAGTTGTTAAGTTCTATCTCCCACTTCCTCACCTGCATCCTTTGATGCTTATATTCCTCAAGACTGAAGAGAAACATTTTTTTTTTCTCCTTTTAAATTGGTCAGGAAGAAATCTCACACAATTTAATGATAAAGATGAAATTCCCTGTTATTTTTAATTTTCATCTTCACTAGAAGTGAATTTACATTCAGGCTTAAGTCTTTGGAGAATAGGACACATAGCTTCTTTTCACTCTCAACTATTTAATCAGGAAAAAAATGTCCTGGAGTGGTAAGGAATTCTAGTGAAGTTCTGATTTATTCTGCATTTAAAGTAAAGCTACAAAAATAATAAAAATGCTTCCAAAACATTACATTGGTTAGCAGAATGCAATACCCCCTTAATTAAGCCACTATTTATTCAACCCAGTGATTCCCAAAGTGGGCGCTACCGCCCCCCGGTGGCCGCTGCAGCGATCCAGGGGGGCGGTGATGGCCACAGGTGCATTTGGGGGTGATGAGTAACTGCTATTAAAATTTTTAAAAAATTAATTTCCAGGGGCTGAGTAATATTTTTTCTGGAAAGGGGGCGGTAGGCCAAATAAGTTTGGGAACCACTGATTCAACCCATATTGTGTGCCAATTACATTTTTAGGTTCTGTCAAGGATAAAACTAAGAGTAAAATAATGGCAATGTTGCAAGACAGCAACACAACATCAATGCATCACATATATACAAGCAATCCAGAATGCACAATGTCCATTAGATTTCATGTTTATTCCTCCATTCTCTTAATGGTTTTGAAGAATGTAAACTAAAGTGTACCTACAAAGTGCAATAGAAGAAATGAGTAAGGCAGGATAAATTATGTCAGGGGCCATATGAGAAGAAAAGAAGTGTCTTTTTACTGACAGTCATTGACAGCTATGACTTGCATACTGATAGAGCATTTACTAAAGTACTTTTTAATAGAATACATGATTTTTTACCTGAATAGGTATAATTATATTGAATATTCATGATCCCATTATTACATTGTGTTCAAATAAGATGAATAAGAGGAATCTGAACCAAAGTCTTAATATCAGTATATAAAAATTATACACTATTTATTGGAAATAACATTTAGGGGTCACTGAACTAAATGCAATTTCTTAAATAGGTAAAACTACCTACAGCTAAACCTGTAAGGATGAATCTCTGTTCTAAGTTTCACAGAGTGAAACTACACAGACTCTTTTGGAAATCTACCTGACAATCTAACAACTAACAGGATAACAAACTTGTCCTTTCCTGGGCCATATGGTCCTCATTTTGTACCCTGAAGTCATTTCTTTTGATCTTCACTCAATAGCAATCATAGCGAAAAAGAACATCTTTTCAATTCTTTCCATATAATAAAAAAGACATTCAAAAGTATTTCCACAGGGTGGTATTAGCAATATAAAGACTTACCCATATTGTATGATCTAGGGATATTTAACTCCAATTAGGGGGGAAATTGTCTCAATATCAGATCATAATATGTCAGAATATGTCCTAGCATCCAAATTTTAGCAAGGTTCTTAAATTCACCTTTTCATTCTTATTGAAATATGTTGAATATATTTTCTCCTAATATATAATCTTTAAAACCTGAATAAATTAATGTATTTTGTAGCAACAAATGCAATTTTAGGGAAATAAGTATTTTTCTAGAAAGTACCATCTTTTTAAATTTACTAAATACAAAATTTTTGGAAATTGTTTTTATATCTGTACTTATTACCATCCTATATAATAAAAGCCTAATATGCTGAGTGGCTGGTCATCCGGTCGTCCGTTCAACCAATCAAAGCATAATATGCTAAGGCCACTCAACCGCTCACTATGATGTGCACTGATCAACAGGGGGCAGACAGTCAACTGGTCGAGCAGTAGCTATGACGTACACTGACCACCAGGGGTCAAATGCTCTGACTGGTTGGTTAGTTTGCTCTGGGGTCCGGCTGATCAGGACTAAGCGAGATGGCCTGGACATGCCCTAGAGCCCTCCTGTGGTCCCTCCCCAGCTGGCCAACCTCCTGTGTCCCTCCCCAGCTCCAATCATGCACCAGTGAGGTCCCTGGGCCTGGCCTTCACCCTCTTGCAATCCAGGACCCCTCGGGGGATGTCAGAGAGCCGGTTTCGGCCCGATCCCGCAGGCCAGGCCAAAGGACCTGACTGGTGCATGAATTTGTGCAGTGGGCCTCCAGTTGAAATATGAAATAGGGAAGATTGTGTCATTATGAATTTATTAACAACAACTTCAAATTACCATACATCAATAAATCTTTCATTGTAGAAAATTTGGTTTTCCACTTTTGACAATGATTATTTCATCCTTTTTTATAATTGATTGAATTCATTGCCTTTCACCTTTAATTTCCCAGTGATGCCCTTGCCACATAATTTATTGAGAAAATACAAGCTATCAAATGGGAAATTCTAGCAGCTAAATAGAAACTTAGTGGTGCCTATGTTCACACAACTTGTTCTTCTTATCTCTAATTAGAAGAGAGGAAGTGTCCTTCTATTTGTCAGAGGCAAATCCTCTCTCTCTCTCATTCTCTTTCTCTCCTACATATCCTATTCCTTCCTTTCTAAAGGTTCATTATTATAGAAATATATTCTATTGCATTGTTTCTCAAATTTTCCTGGTGATAAGAATAACAAGGATATTAAATGAACAACTATTCAGGTCTATCACAGGCTAGCATTTCAAAATCTCTAGGAAAGGTGAATTTAATGTGGATGTTTAAAAAAATAAGTAAATTTTATCAGTAGGTGGATTTAAGAGATTCTGTTTGTCAACATAACCTCCATTGGTCCCACATCTCTATTAACTACTTCCTGATTTTTTTACCACCCTTCATAGCAAAGTACTCAAAGAAAAGACTCATACACATCTAAAAATTATATCTTTTTATTTCTCCAGGTAGCCTTATTGTTCCACTGCCTTTCTAATTTAATTGAGTGCGCCAGCACCTATTCATTTACCCATCAGGATTAGAGCAAGTCTTGGTACCTCTTTCCCTTCCCCCACACTTTGATGTTGGTGATCGTTGGATCAACACAACCTGTCTACAAACATTCTCTTCTATATATATAACTTCCCCCCTTCTGATGTGGAACACTGCAATAGCCTTCTAATGTGCCCCCTACTTCCGTTCTTGCCTGTCTCAAACATCTTTTCATATAGTCTTCAGAATTTTCTTATCAAAATATGTATGATATCTTGGTAACCAGTTTATAACCAATCTTGATTTCCCATTACACTTAGAAAAAATCTGGACTCATTTTGATGATTTTTTACGTTTCTTTTTTATTGATTCCCAAGAGGAAGTGAGAGGGAGAGATAGAAACATCAATGATGAGAGAGAATCATTGATCAGCTACCTCCTGCATGTCCCCTACTGGGGATTGAGTCTGCAATTCAGCCATGTACCCTGATGGAGAATTGCACCATGACCTCCTGGTTCACAGGTTGACATCCAACCACTGAGCCACACCAGCTAAGCCATTTTGATGATTTAAATAGTCATGCTTCTCCATTGTCATTTATTTTATTCAAATGCTTATTTATTCATTTTTCAATGACTATTTATTGTATGCCAATCTACTCTGTGCTAGGCATAGGTAGAATCCAGAGAACAGTGAAGAACACAAATATGGTCCTTGCCATCCTGTAGCTTTCATTGTAGAAGATGTACAATATACAATAGGCAAATACAGACTAGAGGAAGGAAATTGATAGATAATTGTAATAGATAATAAAGGAGCTGTTGGAAAAGAGCCTGTTGTGGAGTTAATATTGGCTAAAACCTTAAGAAAGGAAAAGAGTCATGTGTATAAAGAACCCTCCCATCACTCTCCCCCAACCCTATCCCCCAAAAAGTAATCTTGGCATAGGTATAAGAAACTGCAGATGAGTTTGGAGGGCTCTAGGAAGTGGCAGAAGGATCACATGACAAGAGCCGTAGGGAAAGAAAAAGGCTCTAAGGTGAGCCTAAGACAGCAAATAGCAGCAGGAGCCCTAAGGTTCCCCAGGCCATGGCAAGGACGTTAGGATTTGAAATTCATGAGGATTTATTACGGCATTTGGAGCAGAGCAGTGACATGATTTGATTTACACAACTGCTTTGTGGACGGAGAGACAAAAGTGTGAGAGGGGGATGGGGTCTGTGCCACTTACACTAAAATAGCTCTGTAGCCTCAGTGGCCAAGTTCTAGTTCCTTCTGAAAGCCAAAGCATTTCAGATAGACTGCTTTGTGACGGAGAGACAAAAGTGTGAGAGGGGGATGGGGTCTGTGCCACTTACACTAAAATAGCTCTGTAGCCTCAGTGGCCAAGTTCTAGTTCCTTCTGAAAGCCAAAGCATTTCAGATAGGAAGACAGTAGCACATGCTGTTTTCTTGTCTTAGATTCTCCTTTGCATCCATCTTCCTTCGGGCAGTAGCTTCTTATATTAACTACGTCTTATATTAACTAAGGCATTCTCTGACAACACAGTCTAGAGGTCCATACAATTATTCTTTTTTTTAAAGAAATATATACTTGTATTGTTGAAAGTATTACCAATGTCCCCTTTGCTTCCCATTAACCACCCCCCCCAACCTACACTAGTCCCCATCCCAAGGTCTTCACCAACCTATTGTCTGTGTCCTTGGGTTATGTATATATGTTTTGTAGCTAATCTCCTCACCTGCTGGTACTTTTATCCAGTCCTCCCTATCTCTCTCCCCTCTGACATCAGTCTGTTCCAATGCTCCATGCCTCTGGTTCTATTTTGTTTATTTTGTTCACTTGATTCCACATATTATTGCAATCATATGGCATTTGTCTTTTTCTGACTTGCTTATTTCATTTAGCATAATAATCTCCAAGTCCATTTATGTTGTTGCAAAGGGTAGGAGTTCCTTCTTTTTTACAGCCCTGTAGTATTCCA